CTCACCCCATGAAGGCGAGAGGAGGCAAAATGGCACTGGCGCATTTGATTTAAACTAATTAAAAGCAGAAGGTCGTGCAATTCAATATATTGATTTTACCGGTGGGACTTGAGTCTTTTATAATAAGTGTACACAGCTGCCTCGCTCTCCCACCACCACGATGTAAAGGCATTTTTTTGCATTCCTTCTGACAATCATATGACAGGTCCCACACATCCCTGCCTCTGCCCTAACCCCGGTGACGCTGCCAGCCTGCATTAAGGCAAAGCGGAGCAGCAGCCTGCCAGACACCGGGTGTCGACAGCCCCCGGCCAGGTCTGAAGAGTGATTGCGAAGAAATGAACCTGGCCGGCCCTGCATGCTCTCCATTCAAAATGGATGGGCAGGCAGGGGAGGGTGGGGACTGGGGGAGCCTTAGGACACTCTGACACTTGCAACGGGCCAAATATGACCTTACCCAACAGGGAAAAAAGATATTAAAGCGATAGGGGTGATCAATCAACTTAGATGGGACTCTCCCCGGAATGAAGTCATCACTTGTCTCCGAGTTCAGCGCACATGTGATATTGGCTCACGTCGCAGGCATCCTGGCGGTCAGGGGATCGGACGCCAGCTGGGTTTATCTCCAGGGGGTTTGAGCGCCCTACTACGCGATGAAAGGCCCCTGAACCACAGCTCACAAGAGCTCTGTTTTATTTTCAAGTTTAGTTATTTACGGGGGAAGAAGCAGAGGGAGAGAAGGAGAGACGGAAAATTTCAAGCAGGCTCCTCACTGTCAGCATAGAGCCTGAGGCGGGGCTCGAACCCACGAACCGTGAGATCACGCCCTGAGCCGAAACCAAGAGTCTGCCGCTTACTCGGCTGAGCCACCCAGGCGCCCCAAAAGCCGTGTTCTAGAAGCGGTCTCTCCTCTCTGGGCGTTCACAGAATCATCCCTTCGCAGTCCCAAAATCGATCTTTATCTGGGCCACCTCCCTCACCCCACTCCACAAGCAAATGAGAGTCCTGGAATCAAAACCCTAAGCGAGCCACAGGAGGCTGGCATCCAGGGCTCGACCTCAACCTGCTTCGATTCCTGAAGGGAATACAAAAAAAGATCCAAAAGGTTCAAGTCCAGGTCACATATATCCTTGGGAAAAGGGGTGGGTGGGGGGAGATCTTTGATTTAAGAAGCAGGAAAATGAGGTTTAGGAGAAGCAATTTTGCAAGGGTTGCTAAGAACCCAGCTGTCGGCGCACTCCTAGAGCGAGGGCACTCTGCAGCCAACGAGCAAAGAAAGAAAGCACGAAAGCAGGGCGACAGCCTGTGTGACATCTATATCAACCTCTGGCTGCTCACCCATGAGGGCCTGCGCTCCAAGTGCTGGAATGTGGAGCGGCCCCTTCCAAATTTTAACACAGGCCAGGTTACAGCTGCAAATGCCTGCAGCCCATGCTCCCTTCTCGAAGCACTCCCTGAAGGAAATTTTTAAACTGTAACAGAATCTTTTTCTAATACTCTACAGTGGTAGGGCCTGTTCTTAAGGGGCAAGAGGAGCGATCTTAATGCCAAACACTTGTCAACAAGAAGGACAGCCAGATGGTATACGGCAAAAAACCCCACACGGCCTTCTTTCTCCGTCCTGTGGCTGCATTAACAAAAGCCACTTTTATACGTGCAGTGCCATACTGACCGGTGTCCAACCTTTTAGTTTTTTCATTCTGCTCCGAAGAGTCAACGGATTTGCTTCCTTCACAAGCTGGGCCAGAGAGGAACACACGCATCACACACCCCTGAAGCCAGCCGGCTTCTTTTGAAGATTCCAAAAAAGAGCCGCTGGATTTCTCCAAAGGCAAAAAAAAAAAAAAAAAAGGTAGGGGGCTCTGGCTGGATTCGGTCAGCAGAACTCACATTGCCTGGGGACAATTTCAGAGAGGGGTAGCCTGTTTTGAATTCAAAAACTTAAGTTCCACACAGAGGAATCGGGGGCTTGTTAATCCAAACCAGTTTACAAAATCAAGCCATTGAACCGAAGGGGCCCAGGCTGAGATGTGAGTCTCCCTCCGCAGCTCAGCTGGCGTTACACAGGGGCTTCATCACACAGGCCGGCCTTTGTCATCAGGTGGGGCCTGAGGTCCTCATTCTCAGCACCTGGTTTTGTCATACATTCTCTTCTAGCTCCTTCTCTCGGTCAGACCCCCACTCAGCCTGGCAAAAAGCTTGAATTCCAAGGAGAACAACTTAGAGGAGCAAAACCCAGTTTGGCTGCAGACAGAAGGAAGAATGGAGGCAATGAATGCAAAAGCCTTCAGAATGCAGTCTGAGGTGTCCCCAGCCCTGCGGGACAGGAGCAGGGTGCAGTGGAGGGAGGAGGGGGTGGCGGAGAACGTCGGCCTCTCCAACAGCAGCCCCCCAACATCCCCCCGTGACCCCCCGCGTGACACCAGCTAATGGTCTAATTGGAACAAATGGCACTTCCTTAATGCTTTCGGGTAAAGTGAGAGGAAAGGCACCTTAAGAAAACTTTGTATGTTACAGATCAATTACAGTTTGCAATCCAGGAAAGGCAGCCTGCGCTCTCTGCAAACTTAGCCTCCAGATTGGTCTCCCACACAGTCCCCTGCACCCCCACGGCCACCTCCAGCCCCCTTCTGTGGAGAAATTCTGGAGCCTGGACAGAATGGAAGGGACGGGCGCTTTATTCCTGTGTTGCTCAGCAGAAATTAAAGGCCAGCCTTAAAGCATCTACAGGAGGAGTTTTGCCAAACAGCAGTCCACATCTTGCACCCAACTAATTACCTCGAGTTTTAGGGACAGCGAGGGAAAGAAAACAAGGTCAGCGCACTCTGTTAAAAGGCACTCCGCCATCTAATTTGGAGTGATGTTCCAGAAAGCAAGACCTGAGAAAGTCAGGACTGTCCCACAAAGCCCAGAGCCGGCCCGACTGATTAAGAGGCTCAGACAAGCCGGTCTTTGTCCTTTCAAGATGAAAAGAAATGGGGCTAACGGGTTGAAAGGTGTGTGTACAGCTTCCCAAACAAGTCCCAGCTTGCTCCCACCACCAAGGGGGAGCTAACAGCCCTGCCCCAAGGTTCCCAGAGACTCCCAGTCAGCAGCCTAGTCCTTGTCTGGGGTGGGGGGAGCCCTGACCACCCGGACTCCTCCATATAAGCAGGGTGCTTTTCTGCACTCGGTTTCCAGAGCCTTCCACAGAAGCCAGGGCTTACATATATACCTTTCTAAAGACCGCAGCCTAGCTCTGAGGGCCACCACTGGGACCTGATGCATTCACGGAAAGTCAGGGGGACCCAACAGAGCATTAGATAACATAAATCCCTCACCAGAGAAAGGGCCTTGGCAAGCCCTCCCCCTCCCCCCACTTCAGGATGGCTACAGAGCCCTGCTTTTATAAATATATTTGGAATTTTTCTTTGGTTTCTGGCATAGGTCATAAATACACATTGTAAAAAAAAAAAAAAAAAAGCACGCAGACAATGAAAACTAAGACCCCAGCTCCCACTCCCTAAAAAAGTCCAGCTCCAGTCCTGCGCTCCACTGCTCCCACCGACCCGCCGAAAATCTATTTCAGGTTCACGGTATCTCTTCTTCCAGTGGGAACGGATGATATACAAGCACATACATAACCTCACTGATCTGCACCTTGCTTTTTTCCACCTCATACATCTTGGAGATTGTTCTAAATCGGGACGTGCGGAGCAGCCTCCTTCTCACAGGCTGCTTAGTATAATTTAAACTTTCTCGAAGTTACTTTGGCATCTAAACGTCCCACCCCTTGCTAGCTGGGAGTCCTTGCACTGTTTGATTTTTCGCTAGTATCAGGACAGACAATGGCGACCCGGGAACTCAGGGCCCTTATCTGGTGCTGGAAGCACTTAGGGTTGATCCCCGCTTCCCCGCGCGCCTATCCCTGCCCCACGCCCCCAGCGGGGGGCTTCGCTATCCTTTCCCTGTTGACACGGCGCCCGTGGGCGTGAGTTTGCAGTCTTGACTCCGTTCGCATTTTCGCAGCAAGTTACACACGTAGAATGAAATCGGCTCAGGAAACAGCGCTATCGGGCTTGTTATCTCGGGAAACCAAATATTTGATCATCAGTCCTACAGCGCGCTGCCGGGGGTTAGTTTGAGCAAGTCCGGTGGACGTGCGCGCACAGGAGGAGGAGGAGCCCCGCGACCCCGCCGCAGCGCCGGCCTCGCGTCCCCGCCGGGCCCCCGCGGCTCCGGGGGGCAGCCGGGTCCCCCAGCCGCCCCCGGCGGCGTCTGCTGCCAGACCCCGCGCCACTCAATCGCCAAGACCCGCGGTTTGCGCGCCACACGTGATAAACGCTGAAAATGGATTCTGCCCGCTCGGGACCTATCATTAAACATTTAAAATAGAAAGCTCGCAATGGCACCGTTTCTTCCCCAGCTCCCGCCCGGAGAGCGGAGAGGCGAGGGGGCGCTCGGCCGCCGGGAGGGCGCGGAGACACTCGCGGCGCGCGGCACGCCAGGGCGGGCGCACGGCGAGGGGACAGGTAGGGCTCCACAGGGCGGGGAAGGGGGCGCGACGCCTGCGACGCCAGGTCCCGGCGGGGCCGAGAGGGGCCCCGAAAGGGCGGGAAGGCTGCTTCGCCCAGCAGGGCCCTTTAAATCCAGGTAGCAGGGGCCGCGCGGCCCCGGCACAGCTCACATGACCCAGCCCCGCGCTTTGAACTGAGCCGCGGCGGGCCCGGCGCCTCCAGCCCCAGAGGTGCGGCCGCCGACTCCACCCGGAGGGGGCTTCGAACCGACCCTTTCCTCCACCGAACTCGAACTGGCTGAAGGCGCCCAGTTCGCCCTACCTGGGGCGCGCACTGCTTGGGGTCCACGGGGCTCGGAGTGGGAGACCCTGCGCCAGGCACCGCGGTTTTTCAAACCGCCCCGAGTGTAAAGAGGGGCGGGATGGATGTAAACAGCGACCCCCTCCCCGTCCCAACGTGCCTCGGGACCTAGAGGCTCACCCCCGCCCTTCCACCCGCACTCACCGAGGTTGACGAAGCTCATGACCATGTCGGCGTCGGTGAGGAAGTGGCTATCTTGCAGGCTGGCCAGAGGGGGGCCCTGGGTACTGAAGACGGCCTTGTAGGGGTAGGAGAAGCCCTGGCCGTCGGGCCCGCCGCCCTCCTCCACCGCCATGGCATTGTACAAGTCCAGCATGAACATGGGCGCCGAGTTGTGCTTGCCCTGGAGGTGGGGGCGCGGGCGATGCGGCAAGCCCAAGATAGACAGGATCTCGCGCTGCATCTCCCGCCGCTCCTGGCTGCGGAGGCGCCGGTGGATGAAGCTCGAGTGCACCTCGTTGTCCAGGCTGAAGTCGGCCAGGGCGGAGCGCAGCAGCAGCAGGGGCGCCCAGAGCGCCACGAAGCTGTGCGGCGCCGCGGCGCGCAGCGAGCGCACGTGCATCGCGCCGGCTCTACGCGCGACCCGGGCTCCGCGCACCCGGCACCGGGGCCCGCGCCGCCCCAGGTGGCGGAGCGGGGCAGGCGGCCGTCCACGCCGCTCGGTCACTTGCTGCAGACGGGTCCCGCTGCGCCCGCGCCAGACATGGCCCCTCCCCGGCCGACTGCGCTCTGCGCGGACCTCCGCCTCCTGCTGGGCGCTAGCCCCGGGGCCCCTCGCCCCGCACTCGCCCGGGCTCACCGCGGGGCTCGGAAACCGGCTGGAGCGCGCGAGTGAGCGAGCGAGCGAGGAGGCGGGTGCGGGTGGGAGGAGCAGCCAGCAAACCTAGGAGCCGGGAGAGCGAGCGCCGGGGAGGCGGCGAGGCGGCGGGCAAGCGAGCGCTCCCTCCTCCGGCTCCGCTCGCGCTCTCGCCCTCGGGCGGCGGCGCCCCACTCTCTTCCGAACTCCCGCGCGGGGAGCGGGGGCCCCGAGTCGCGCTCCCAGCGGTGCGCGCCCTTGATCGCACGAGAGGCCGCCTCGGGAGCTCCAGACTGGTACGCGCTGGGGCCTGGGAGGAGGAGGAGGGGGAGGAGGACGGGCTTCCAAGGGCCCCTCCCGCGCCCGCGGCCTCCCACCTGCCCTCGGCCCCGCCCTCCCCCCAGCGGCGCCCAATGGGTTCATTCATTCCGTCTAGTGCGCTCTACAAATATTTACCGAGTGCCCACGGGGTGCCCAGCGCCGGGCCGGACGCCGCGGGGATGCGGAGGGAGGAACCCGAGCCGGCCCCGGCCTCGGACGGGGAGTCGGGACTGGGAAGAGGCCTGAGCGGGACCGGTGGGATTCTCGTCGGGCCGACGGGGAAGACGCTGGGGCAGTGCGGAGGCCGCGCAGCAATCGGAGAAGGCTTCCCGGAGGAGGTGACCCCGAGTCCCTCTCGCCCCTCTGCTCCACCACCCACCTCCCCACGGACTCTAGCCGCGCTGACCCCTCTGCCCCTCCAACTCCCCCCCCCCCCAGCACTTACCGCTTACCTTTGCACTTGCCATTCCCTCTGCCCGGAATTCTCTCCCTTCCCTTTCATCCCTCCCTCTGTGACTAGCTCCGATGGCCATCGGCCGACCCTCCACCTCCGGGTCCCACTCACGTGCCACCTCCTCCCAGACCTGGAGGGATTAGGTCCCTTCCCCTCCTCACCCCGCGTACTTCTCGTGTTTTCTTTTAACTCCCCTCACCGCCTGGAATTACTGTTTGAGTTATTCGCCCTGTCTTTATTGTCTTGGGCTCCCCTCCCCCCTCCCCCCCCTCACACACACCGGAAACGGAGCCCCTGGGGACCGAGTTTTTCGGAGTCTCCTTTATCCCCGCTGCGCCTCGAACCCAGGTCCTGGTAGCCGCTGAGGCTGCACAATCATTACCTGCTGAGCGCTTGAAATTGTGTGAGCTGCAGGATCCTCCCCGCCTCCTCCCCTCTGGGGTCCCTTTATCTCCAAGCACTCTTGCGCCCGGGACTGAAGCCCCTGGTCCCCTACCCCACCCATGTGCACCCTTCCCCATCAGCCGCTGGCTTGGCCTTGTCTGAGGCCCCACCTTGCAGGCAGGTCCCCTCTGAGGCTCCTCACCAGACAGCTTCCTTTCTTCCCTGCCTGCATCCCCTCATCCCGCAAGCATACTGAGCTGCTCAGGCCCCAGCACATCCGGGCATGGACGCAGCCGATGTGGAAGATACCTCGAGAACTTAAGTGAATTACTGCTTTTCAGAACCTCCATCTCTTCCTCGGTAAACAAGGCAGCAAAATACTCACCCAGAGTGCGAGTGAGGCCAGGGGTACAAGTTCAACCTTGCCTCCCTCCCCTTCTGGGGCCGTCCCAAGGAGGCAAATCCAGAAGCTGGGAGTTCCCGGATGATGGGTTAGATGGAGGGTCACCATGGGGGTTTGGGATGGAAGGTAAAGGGCTGAGTTGGGGAGACAAGGGTTTTGGGTGGCGGGGGGGGGGGGCAGTCTGGCTAAGCCTCACCTGGGGACAGGAGAAAGCTCCAGGATTGGTAAAGATTAACCTGGTCTTCTAGAGGTTTCTGGAGAGGAGATGGTTCTGCCATGCAGCCTTTTGGGGGCTTTTAGGCAAGACGGCAGCCTGAGGGGCCCCATGGGTGGGGAAGAAAGGCCAGAGGCCACAAGAGAGAGGCCAGAGGCAGAAGAAGTACAAGCCTTCGGGTCAGAACCATTCATGCTTCTCAGGCCCCTCTGCCCACCTGTCAATCAAGGCACCTCGAAAGGCCCCTCCACCTGCCCTTTGTCCATTAACTCCTTCCTTCAACGAAGGCTTGTGGAGTGCTTCCTCGGCGCCAGGCAGGGTGGGCTTCACGGGCGGGCGGCCTGTGTGGACCCCCAGGCCCCCACACTCCAAAGGGCCTCACGCTCGGCTTTAATGTTCTGCTGCTTCTGTGTTGCAGTTCTTCCTCATCTATGAACAAAGGGCCCCCCGTTTCATCTTGCACTGGACCCCACGAATTACGTGGTCCACCCCAGTGCCAAGCACAGTGCTGGGCAGGAGGGTACAACAGCGAGCGAGCCCGCACGGCAGCCTCCATCACAAAGGTGGCTTTCAGCCCAGAGGAGATGAAGGGGGAACCTTCACCAGGATTAGAGGGGGGAGGGGTGGCAGTGCTGTCCCCTGATTCTCCCGGGAGGGACAGGGCGCTCTCAGCCTCAGGCAGGCAGCACAGGGAATGCAGGAGGGTTGGGGAGCGAAGAGCTGAACAGGAATCGCGGTGGGTAGGAAGCTAATACAGGGGCCTGCGGAGGCCATCAGAGGGGTGCTGCCTGGCCCCCCGCGTCCACTGGTGGGGGGCCTACCTTCCATCATCTTGTGATAAGCCACGGAGCTGAGCCAACAGGATGAGCTAGTGGGAAAGGGATCTCCTGGATCCCGGAAGGAGGAGGAAGGGCCAGCTTTGCGGGGCAAAGCATCCCAGGCGGAGTGACGAGCAGGTGTGCAGGCTGCACAGAGCAAGGAACAGACAGACGCCGGGCTTTGTTGCCCCTGAGCTCGCTTCCAACGCCATCTGGGATGAAGGAGGTTCCTTTCTTCCGAAGTCCTCTGCTGCAGCCCTGTCTGCCTTTTAATCCACTCTCAAGTGTTTTAGGGGGGATTTTGACCAGCAAGGGAGGCAGGGGATAGGGGCAGCAGGTATTGGTGCTACCGATTTACATATGAAAACAATTGATTGGTCAACTACCCTGCCCCCCTCCCCCAACCACAGAAAGGCCCTGAAGCAACAATTATGGGTCACCTGTCTGTGCATCCCATCTGAGCCCACTGGAGCCTGGCACACAGCAGGCGCTCAGTAAGTACCCAGTGAATGAATAGTAATAAACACAGCCAATACCTAGAAAGCTCACTAGACTGAGGACTGACCGTGCAGGCGCCAGGGTGAGGGGTCTCCCAGACCCCTCACCCCGAGACCCTTCCATCTTTTCTCATGCAAGATGAAGAGAAAACATGCTCTTCATATCCAAGACCTGGGCAAAGATAAGGTTCTCTCTGAATTCCCGCAACCTGATTGGGCTTCGTCTTTCCTGTGCTCCGTGCTGGCGGGGGGGGGGGGGGGGGGGGGGGTTCCCGGGTGGGGGGGGGGGGGGGGGGGGGGGGGGGGGGGGGGGGGGGGGGGGGGGGGGGGGGGGGGGGGGGGGGGGGGGGGGGTCTTTATTTTCCCTGCTTCCTCTCCCACAGGAGTCCCCAGCACTGCACCAGGCCCTTAGTGAAAATGCTTGCGTGACAAATGAATGAACGAACGAATGAATGAATGAATGAATGAATGAATGAATGCAAACACACAGGCGAGAAATATCTGGCTGGGAATACATGGGATGCTGGTCTGAGAGCTGAGGACACCAGAAAAGTCTTGGAGATTGTTTAGAGGAAGTCGGGGAGAGGGGAGCCAGCCGCCTGGCCCTGGGAGCCTATCTGTCTGGTTCCACACCCCAGCTCTGCCACTTGGCCTTGTGTCTCAGAGATTTAAGCTCCCTGTGCCTCAATTGCCCCATCTGTATAATGGAAAGCTATTCACGCCCACTTCCTTTTTTTTTATTTTATTTATTTATTTAAAAAAAAAATTTTTTTAATGTTTTTTTTTTTTTTTCTAGGAGGGAGAGAGAGAGAGACAGACAGCGTGAGCAGGGGAGGGTCAGAGAGAGAGGGAGTCACAAACTGAAATGGGCTCCAGGCTCTGAGCTGGCAGTCAGCACAGAGCCCGACGCGGGGCTCGAACCCACGAACCGCGAGATCATGACCTAAGCGAAAGTCGGACGCTTAACCGACTAAGCCACCCAGGCGCCCCTATTCATGCCCACTTCCTAAGGTCACTTGCCTTCTACGGTTCCCAGGAGGATTTGAAAATTAATTCAATTCATGTAAAGTGCTGTGCAAGGTGCCTGGAGCAGAGAGAAAGCATTTCATGTCTGTTACCATCTGGTTGAAAAGGAAAATATGTTAACAGGAAAGCCTACTAAGTTAAAAATAACGCATTTCCAGGGCACCTGGGTGGCTCAGTAGGTTAGGTGGCCGACTTTGGCTCAGGTCATGATCTCGTGGTTCCTGAGTTCGAGCCCCACGTCGGGCTCTGTGCTGACAGCTCAGAGCCTGGAGCTGCTTTGGATTCTGTGTCTCCCTCTCTCTCTGCCCCTCCCCTGCTTGCACTCTGTCTTTCTCAAATATAAACGAACATTAGAAAAAAATTAAACAACAACAACACAATTCTTCATGCTGGCCTGGTTTGGGGCCAAGCAGAGAAAAGTCCATGTCTCCTGATTATAAGAGGGCGAGAGCAGGGGTGAGGGGTGAGAGCAGAGCAGGATAACGGTAGTAGTGCTTGCATTCTGACCCCCTCGTTGTCCCCCAGCAGCCCTCCGGTGCCATCAGGGCCCAGGAGCTTCCCCGGGGCCTATCTCATTTCCCAGCAGCCGGTGCCCCGGCCCCCACCCCCCACCACCAGGTGTGGCTCCCTGAGCTGGACTCCGGGCCGTAACCCGATCTGCCCTGGTCTGCTCCGCACCTGGGGCCCCCTGCGCCTGGCGGAGAGACAGCCCGGAAACACGAGGGCTATCACCGCGACTGGCCACCCGGCCCCAGCGTCCACACCCCGCTCTCGCCCGGCTCTCAGCACTGAGCAAGTTTTCATCTTGCCGGTGCGATTTTGACCAAGTCAGCATGTGTCTCGGAGGCAATTAAAAAGAAAAGAATCCTGCTGCCGCTCACACTCAGCAGAAGGCAGGGACCCCATCCTCCTGGCAGAGCTCTGTTCCACCTGCCCAGGAGGAAGGTCAGCGGGTCTGGGGGCGCCTCGGGGGCACCCTCCCCCCCACCAGGCGGTCTAGGAGCTGTCCCCTCGGCCTGCCCACCTGGCCAAGGCCTCATGACCCGGACCTGGGACACCCGCAGAGAAGAGGGGGGCCGAGAGCCTCCCCACGCACAGGCTTTAACATCCTCGTGTGCAGACCCTTGCGTGCGTGTGGACTTACCCTGGAGGTGAAAGGACTTCAGCGCACCTGTAGTGA